ATATATATATAATATATATATATATATATATATGACGCTACTGCTACTGCATGTGGTTGCTCCCTTCCACAGGCACTGTCCCCATTTAAGTATGCGCTGTCGTCATTTAGCTTGGTAATTTTTGACAATGAGTACTTTATTGGTGAAGGTGGAGAGCGAGTGTCTGGAGACGACGTAAGTGCTAAGATAACCGACAGCATTAATAACCCCACACTGGGCAGCGTGCGTCCTTTAAGATGAATTAGCGCAGGAACGTGGTGTATTGCTTCTGCGTTTTTGTCCCAGTTCCTCAGGGGGACGTTTGGGATTAAGAGAGAGAACTGCGCTTCTGATTTAGGGGCCCTTGCTGCTCTTATTATTTTGTAAGTGTAGTTGCGCTTCAGCAAAGTGTGCCGCTGGAGAAGGCAGCCCACTACCCACGCAGTAGGCGGCTGCATTCTAAGTGTGCGACACGCGTATGGCCCTTGCGTCATCTGTTTAGGCCCCGCCTCCTAGCTTTGGCCACCATGGAGTTTCAAGCGCGGCGAACAAAAGAGAACGCATAAAGCCTCCCTCCGATCAAAGCTGTGCACGCTTTTTGAGATCAGAGTTGAATAAGCGCTTCTTACTTCACTGTTTCCTTGAAAAGATATGCTAGAGCTTCTTGGCAGCACAGGGACAGGCAACAGTCCAATCGGTCGAAAGCAATATCTCACCCTGGCTGAGAATCCCATCGGCTGGCAGCGACCAGTCTTGGCCATAAACGAAATCTCAGTAGCTCGAATTCTATTTGCACGCATTCTGCGGCGCATCATGACCGATGACGCTCCCTCGTGGCTTGCGTTTTTGCTGGTCCTGTTGATGGCAAGTTTTGTCTTTTCCGCTTTTCAAATTCAATTTTGTTTTTTACATCTGGCCATTGAACCTCCGGCTAGGTGGGTCGTTAGTTTGCATGTACCATTTAGTTACTGTACAGCGTAGCATGTGTTTTATGCAGAAGCGTTTGATTTTTGATATTCGCGTTTAGTGGGATAAGCTTATCTAAAGCCACGGGTAGGCAGATGTATTTTTTTCGTGTAAGTGCCCTGAAAGAACCTGTGGGGCATTTCAGCTCGGGTGCCAGATCTGTACTGGGCGTCGTCGTGGAAACAGGTCCTTTCGCCCTTAAGTGTCTTCATTCCGAGCCGGCAGTCCGATCAGCTGGGAATTCATCATCCAGCGTATTACTTGCCTCTAGTTGTATGCTTCATGGGTTGGGCCTATATCACAGAAGTGCAGTTGCTTGCAAAAACACTCTAGTCCTCTAAGTTCATCGGGGTGCTTCCCGAAAAGGTTAGCGCTTTCTCGATCATCGAACAACTTTCACATGGTGTTTGGGGAAACGCCAACCCGAATGAAAACAAAATTTGGTTTCGCGAAGCTGTTCAGAACCTCATTACGTTTAAACTAGAGGCAGGAAACAAAGGGATTGCGGGCCTCCTGCAACGCAATTCATGCAAGTGAGAATGCATGTGCCAGTGAGCAGCTGAGGCCTTGTTCCCCTCCATCCTTGTGTGGCTTTGGAGTTTTGCTGCTTTGCAGACACGGTTACAAGCTTAGCCACCTTGAAGCTTGCTGGTAACGCGAGGCGACGGTTTCCCTAGTAGCTCCTCGGCACCGCCGAGATGTTGCCCTATGGTGAACCGCACATCATTGTCTAAGGTTCTGCAACAACTGATGAGGGCATAGATCCCTTCTAATTTGCTACAGCCTCGTACAGCGGAACTACCAACACCGCCTCCAAACTACGGGAAAGGCGGAGGAGACCAGGAGCACTCGAGCCATAGTCACTAGATCCATTCCTCTTGAGTTCTTGAAGGCCTTACCAGTTCACGGTGTGCAAATTTATTGTACCGACCATCCGATGATCGGGCCCTGGGATAATTAACGAAATTAGAGGACTGCATAGTCAACTAAGGCTGCCTAACGACGTAACAATTGCCACTTCCCTTCTGAGAGGCCCCTTTCTGCTTACCTCTTTCTCTGCAAGAAATTACAATGTCTGCCTGCGTCAGCTCCATTCTGAATTGGGTTCGAAATTTCCATCTGACTCGTAAACTCCTACGTTCTACACTAGAGCTTTCTGAAAAGTCACTGGCAGTGGCTTCCGTAGACTGCAATACACGTTTCAGTGAGGTATGATACAGCGCGGCACTTCCAGTAAGTGCCTTATGAGGACTACTCAAGACTACTAACCAACAGAAAGTGTGAATCCCGAACAGTGCGGACAGGCACGGCAGATAAAACAGAATGCCCTCCAGCACGCAGTTTTAGAGCATTTGCACGCGGGTGGCTGCCCCTAGCAGCAGAAAAAAGTTGTCATTTGCAAAAACTAGAATGACTGCCAGCCTTCCTGCAATGCGAAAGTGTTGTGTGGCAGTGTTGTGTGTTGTGTGGCAGAGGGTTCCTTAATGCATTGCAGGATCCTCCTTTGTCGTGTACGTTTCTTCTGTGATTCATTTCTTCTGCACTAAGGTGCGCCAATCCGCCGTTACTTCAATAAAATTCGCATTTTGCATCCCTCTGCGACTGCAGATACACATGTCACAAATGTCGGATTGGTGGTGTGCCTGTACAAACATCTAGAGAAACGTCGGCTGCCACGAGCATCTAAGAAACCCTACGCTAACGTCCAACGTTTTCTGCCCTCATACGCAAGTGCTGGGATGAAGCGAAATCAACTATGGCCTCCCATGCGAAACGGATGAAATAGCTTACCTCGACATTTCCTTTTCCTTCCACTCTTCGATTTTCTTTTGCTTCAATCGCTCCTTTCGTTTGTCGTAGTCCTGCGCATAGATTACAAATGACGCCGGGAGTCCAACATTCCAAAGGCTGTGTGCAGCCTGAACGTGTCGCCATAGAAAGGACAGCTAAAACTCACCTCGTCGGACTCTTCATCCTTCTCCCGACTCTTCTGCCACTTTTCAACGAGCTGCATGCGCCTCCGTACAAGGGGATTGGAAGAACTAAGCTTTTTGACGCCAGAGCTGCCGAGCGGCCGCTTGGTAGGCGCCGCAGCGACAGCAGACCCTTGGGCTCCATCCCGCGACACCGCAGGAGCCTTCGGATCTGTCTCATGATGCCGTTGATGATCTGCAGACCACCAAACATGTAAGTATATCCTTTAATACATTGCACAGAAAGGAAGGCTAGTGCTACAGTCGTTTTGATGCTCGATGTCAGTCAACCGCCTGAAGCTTAAAAAGCGCGCCGCCGCAACTTTCGTTGGCGGCACTTCAGTAGCGGCACAAGTACCTGACTATGCACTGCATCATGAACCTGCCTGAACACTCCAAGGACCTGCGATACTGATGGGCTGCATGGCCTCGTGGCAACGCGCCCTGAAGAGCGCTTTCGGCCATTGAGGGCGGCTAGCCTGGCAGTGATTTCAGCAGCTGCTGTATGCGCGAGCCGCCCTGTCGATGGGCTGCGCAGCGGAAAGCAATGTGGTTCGGCAGAACTTGGCCCATGGAGTTGGTGTGTCTACGTAGCTCGTTCGAAGGTGCATGACTCAGCAAACTCCCGTCGGAAAAACCGTCCTTTTGGGGTAAATGCTAAGCAAGCACTATGCCTTGACTGGGAAAAAATGACGAGCTGTTATGCCACTAACCATGCAAGCCTAGTTCGCAAGTATGCCCAACGGGCTGTTGAAGGCCCAAAGATCCCCCAAATCACGCAGATGACGCAGAAAACACAGATCAAAACGCGGTAATGGGAATATCCGCATACGTGAGTAGAATAAGCTCCGGGTCCTTCACCATCTGCAAAATATTGAACACAGCCAGCGACATACCTGCTGCTGGTGCTGCCCCCGCTTTTGCGGCTTCTGATGCTGCTGGAGCCACTTCATCGGGAAGCGTCGGTGGGGGCCCTTCAGGGGTAGGAGGGGCAGTGCCGAGTGCTGTCGACTCCTCGCTGGAGACGCTGCTGCCTCTTTGCATAGCACCAGCGTTTCTAGAGCCACTAGTTGTGGGACGGCCACTGCCACCCTTGTCCAATGCAGATGTCCCTGCCACGCCAGCTAGGCAGTTCCGCGAAGATGACTTCACTGTTCCGCTGGCCGAGACAGATGCTGCAGCAGCAGAATAGGGGAATACGGATGCAAGTTCTTGGTGCCGCTCTTCTGCTTCCACATCTTGCAAGAGATGCTTCTGCACCGCAAAACACTCACCAACAAATCCATGTTCTTTTCTACACGAAACTTACCAAATGAAGAAAAGTGCTGTTTGTTGACGTCACTTTCTCAGATCTCGAAAGGACCTAGGGAATGAGGGCCCCTGATACCTGAAAATCCTGTTGCATTTTGTCAAGCCTCTTTAGAAAAAAGCTGCTACTAAGACCTCCATCTATCCAGTCATCCTGCAGGTACCACCCGCATAAAATAAAACAAAACAAACGACATCCTGGTGTGTACGCAGCAAAGTTCTTAAAATGAGTCCAACGGGCAACTAGCAGTTAGCGGCTAGCAGTCAGCATTTGCGTAACTACCAGGGTGACTGCGACCCACTAAGCGAGCCTTCAGTGCAGCTAACAATGCTGAAGCCCATTCCTTCTCCACATTTCCAAGACGCCGTGCAAGCGAAGACGCCAACGAGCGAACCTGCAACAGGCACAAGGGACGAAAGTGGTACTAGAGTGACCTTTTGAAGACTGGCTATCAGGTTGTTAGATTATGATGCCTTTGTGTCGCTATATAGACCTGTGGGAACAACCATCAGAGGGCCCTGCCAATCAAGTTACCTTTGCCTGCTGAGACTGTGTTCCTCTGGACTCCGCCAGCCGCTGTTTGCAGGCCGCGCACTGAGCAGGCTGTGGTCGTCGATCTTGTTGAAGCTGAAGGTCTATCAACTCCTTCAAAAATTCATCATCCGAACCACTAGCGCTCGTTTCCTGTGATCGTTTATGCCGCTGTTGCTCCCGACGCTGCCTCATGGAACGGAATCGTTGAAGGCGCATACTGAGATCAGCTTTTTCACGAAGAGCAGCTGCTCCAGCCACAGTGCAACTTTCATACTCTGCATCTAACTCCTCCTCCATGAAATCTAGCTGAAAAATCAGCTGCTGGACTTTCTCCGAGCACGTTGGCAGCTCCTGAGTCAATCTAAAGGTGGATGCAGCCCACTGTCGCAGGTCTTGCTGTTGCTGATGCTTGGCACCCGTGTCTACCTGTGCAGCACTGGGCTGTAGAGAGCTTCCGGGCGACTCCCATGTAACCTCATCAGTGGTTACATTCCAGTAGTATGTCTTCCCAGTAGCAGCATCTACAACCGCCTGCCAAACTGCCTCATCATCTTGGGGCTGCTGCTGCTCATGGATGCCAGTGGCCGTTATCCCCTGGTCTGCACTGTTCTGAGGACTCTCAGAAGCAGGTGGACTGGTTCTTGACGACTGTTGGCTATCGGGAAGCGTCTCTGGTACAGACGCGATCGACACTGCTTCCTGGCCACCTGAATTTGAATCCTGCTGTTGGGCCTCCCTCTGGCTGTCCAGCTGTTCAATTTCCTTCATAAAAAGGACAAATTCATCGTCCACTTTGCTGCGTTCGTTCCCTGCTTCCTGGGTATCGTCAGCTGGTGCTTCTGCATCTTGCTGCCCTCCCTCTTCGAGCGTCTGACCAGCCGCAGTGCGGGTGGTGGAAACCGAATATCCCGACGTTCCCGACGCAGGCGGCTCACTTGCTCTGCCGGCGTTTCCTGAAAGCAACAGAGAAAACATGGAAGATAATGATGAGATGAGCAGCCCTGCCGCACATTAGTGGCAAACTGTGAAGGTGTCGCAAAAACAGCGGGTATTGGAGGCAATAGAAGGATCTGTCCAATTTACTCTTCATGCGTAACTGGCGAGGCAAGAAGGCTGGGGGAGGCATCTCTGACGTCACGATTTGGGTTAGCGGTGACTCAGCGGCCGCTGTCCGGGCAGGTGCATCGAGGGGCCTTTGTTCACAGCCTGCAGCAGCGATTTCTTCCGCGTCCCTTCCAGGCGCATGATCATCTGGATGAGCGGCATCTTCGAGCCCATTGTCCGTCATTTGGACTGAAGACACTGAATTATGCATGCCGGCATCACTGTCATCTGAAGCCCCCTCTGAAGGAGCGGGCAAAGCAGTGCAATTCGACTCCCCCGGTGGGCCCGAACTGGCTTGGTCAGCTGTTTCGGTGCAGACCGGCTCCAGCTGGGGGTCTGCAGACTTATTTGTGTGTTCCACCTTTCCATCCTGAACCTTCGTGTCCGAACTCTCATGTAGCCTTTCCTGCTTTTCCAGAGTTAACACGCCTCTTGGCAGCTCCCCCTCGTCAGACCCCGGCATGAGCGCTGGAGTGGTGCGGATGCATACGGGCGGATGATATGAACGTGCAACCCTAATACAACCCTACCCACGGATTTACTCTGATGAATGGCTTTAGTCTTTGTAACGGTCGGTAGGACTTTTAACTCGTGCAAAGCCGGAACACTTGCACGTTTGTACCCTGCCCATCGTACAGGCTGACCCAAGGGAGTGATAATGCTACTCGAACATACTAAGACCCTTTTACTGCTCTGTTCGTCGCTAACAGCATCAATATGTGCGTTAAAGTATTCAGAGGATTGCACAGAAAAGCTGAAGGGGGATGTTGTACACTGGTATCCAATGAGGACAGATGGCGGGCAGTCAGTTTGAAAAGGAGTACAAAATTACTTAACCTGTTTAAATACTGTAAAAGAGTTATGGTAGTTAATCCTGATTAACAAACGGTGCATGCTCATTCACAATGTACAGCAAGTTCTTGTGGCTCATGGGGCTTTTCCCAAGCCCCGTTGCTGCACATGAAATTATTTGTTCCATATTTCCATCATAGTTACCGAAAGTTCCACCATCTAAACTGCAGTTGTAACTAGAGACTATTATTGGTGTTTGCAACTATCCATAGGCTAGCATATTAGACCCCTAGCGGGGGGGTTCTCCGCGGAGTCTGCAGAGGCAGCAATGACAGCACACAGCTTGTCTCACCTCAGGATCTAGGAAGCCATTCGGCTGCCAGCAACCACGGTTATTGCACCTGACGTTCTGTATGGAGCTTTCATCCAAAGGCGAAGCGCACGTCGTATGCCTCTGGCTGCTGCGACTCAACACCGTGAAAGCTGCCCAGCATGAGTTCTACCTATGGGTGGCTAACTGAAAGTGCATTAGCAATCGAACGGCCTATCCCCATTCGCGGGGTTTCTCAGCAGTCTCAACTTCGCCTGTCATCCATTGTCAGGAAGCAGCAGGAGAGTCAGCAACAGCGAGTAGATGCGCAAAGACCTGTCTTTGTTGAGGCCGCTAAAGAAGGTAGAGTATTTACGCATGACGTCCCCTGTTCCCGCAGATGGACGCGCCCGTCGAAAAAGGCGAGCTTCCGTTGCAGATTGCCCCTTCCCTCCCAGTAGAGATGGTTTTCAACCCACTGTGGGCTTCGCACGGTGTGCTCCTTTTGCCGGCGTCTAAGTATCCTTGACGGGTGATAGCACCAAGAATATCATGAATAGGCCCGTTTATCTTTTTGCATACTGTGGAACTGCAGCCACTGGATTGGATTGGGCGACAGTTTGCCGGTAGGAATGACGGCGTTGCCTTGAGAGATGCTGCAGACGAACGTGACCGAATAAGCCACACGCCGGACATCAATGCTGTATCGGCTCACCTGGAAAGGAAAGCAAAGCTCTATGATCGACTAGGTATGGCGTGTGCGCAACACACGTAGGGGAGTGGCTCTGCAGTGGAATATAACCCGTCTTCGCGAACCAAAAAACAGCTATGTCTCTTCTGTTGTTGGTTTATTCGCTTCCGTTACCCTTGCAGTGGGTGGGCTGGATCATAGTGCATCCGCATTGCAACTGCTTCAATTAAATCAAAAACGCCGCGTTGTCCAAAGAGACACCCCAGTGGTGGGACCAACTGGCCCGCTCCTTTCGACCGAAGCTCTCGCTGCGCTCCTGAACTTTTCCGAGTAAGAAGTAGTTGCGTTCTCTCCTCTGAATGAACAACAGATAATGCTTCAGGACTGCGCTATTCACGCACTTAATACTATTAACAACCCGGAGACCCTACGTAGTTGTGAGCGGGAATATGTTAGCAGCCGAGCAGGCAAAGCAGCTTTTTAATGAACCTCGTGTTCGGTTTCTGTGGGGCTGATTAATTTGCGCATTTTCCGTCCAGAGGTTCTGACGTCTGCCAAGACAACGAGAAGTAAGTTGTGGGATGGCCGGCGCTAGCAGGTAGCCCCTTCCTAGCAGTGCGCACAAGTATATCGACCCAGTTAGTGTGTGCGTAAGCTCCGCTGGATGCTTTTCTGTTCTGCTCTTCAATAGGCGTTATTTCACGGGAATGTAGCAGATCCATTTGTTCTCACTGGGACTGTTTCTCCGTTTAACTACAACTCACGATTCATATTTAAGAGTTACATGTTACACGTGTTTTCTTGTGTACGTTAAATTGTGCAGATCTGAACAACAACATGCCGCTCGGTTGGTTTTCCTTCAAGCACGGCTGAATCTCTATCGGCATGTGCTAACCCAGGACCCGTTCGCGTGAAGCCGAGAACGAAGAATTACTTGCAGTTAAATTAAGGATGGCGGGTTTTTCGCCTGCGGCCAGAGCGCTGTGCATGTGCGTACGCGGATTTGAAACGATGTGTTTCAGGCGTTTGCCAATGTTAAATGGTACTCTACCAGTTACTGTGCACTCAAGTATGAAACGACTTCCAGGTTTGACGCCTCCGCAAATCAGTTTTACTCTTTTTTAACGGAGGCAGTTTGCACCCACTTAAGAGACTCAGCTTACGTCTAGCGTTTGCTGCCAGGAAAATGTTCCAGGCGCTGAAAAATGTGTATGTTGCCGCCTGTTGCCTGAATTCGTTCTTCCTTCGTCAGCAAACTGTTCGTAAGCGAGTAACTGCTGACAAGCCCCTCAAAATTCAAGCAGAGTGTTGAGTTTGTTGATGCTCACGGTAGCGCCCGGCAGTTCCACTATATCCTCGGTACATTGCAGCAATTGAACGGCAGCGTTGGGACCTTGTAGTCGAGGGCTAGTCAAGAGGGACTGAAAGGGCCAGTTACAAACTTCTCAGAAGCAGCTGCTTAGTGAGAGCTCTACCTCGCGCTTGAAACTGCATCATTCAGAAGGTGATGAACAGGTTCACCGAATCAGTCTACGGTTTTGGGGGGCATGGTGGGTCATGTGTTGAAAGGGCCGAATTGTCAAACAACGGCCGGCTTCCATTTGATATGTTACGGCTTTGCAGACATCCCATCGAAAAAAAGCAAGGGTAAGGAAGGAGAAGCGTCATGGGCTTTCTGCTTCTAGCTGCCTTGTTCCATGGCGAATCTCACCTGAGCGGAAGAGCTATGACGTGCAGACTGGCAAGATTTCATTTCAGGATGGTTTGTCACAATGTTTTCTCACCACAGAGAGAACACTAGATTAGAACGTGCAATGTCTTCTGTTGAGCTTGACGGCTTCACCGGTGCGCGTTGGCTCCTCACAGATGAGCGCTCAGTAGAGCAGTGAAGGAATGCTGAGACACATTCGGACTTTAGGCTCCTCTAGAAATCGCCGATTAAATCGTTTGGAAACGCGCAATTAATTCTATCTTCTGGTTGCTATGAGTTGGTGGCCCTACAGACATCATGAACTTGGTAGCCACAGCCTAGCCTCAGAAAAGTACACCAGAACTCGATGCTAGCAGCATTAGATCCGCTGGTAATCCCCCAAGGCCAACCTTACACCCGACTTCAGCATTAATTCCTTCATTTTTACACTTATTATGTGGGGCAATAATCCTCAGAGCACAAGTAACTGTAGGTGATAAGTAGACCAGTGGTTGACCGTTTGCCCGTTTCGGCGCTAGGCTGCTCTGAATTTCCCTGCCGACGACCTGATCTCAAAGTCAGTTATGCGAAAATAATTATATATTCCTTATTATACTTGGATGGTAAATTTTCCGCGTTGTGGCGGTTGCCCTTTTCAGCTGCGAGGCCCAGCAACCTAGGTCGGATGGAAGGAATGGACTCCTCGCAAGCCAGTACAGATGAAGGCTCCACTTCATCCAGAAAGCCCACTGAAGGGTTGATAGCTGACTCAGGGAGGAGCAAGGGTAGTCTGACATCGTTGGACAGGCTCCTGGATTCCCCGACTGCATCCATGGCGTTGCGTGCGGAAGAAGGTCAGTTCGAACCAGTTACTCCACCGACACCGAGGAACCCCTTGGCAGCTCTTGCTGTTTACGTCGACATTAACTTTCCGTCGGCCATCCAGATGCTACGAACAGCTGCATCAGCAGCAGTTGAGGAGGTAACAGCCACTTTATCTTTCCGCAGTAGCGGGCGACTCAGCATTACAAAAAGGCTTCATCAGAGAATTGAAGAGCTATGGATCCGCCCATGTAGGCAGTTGAATGAAGCGAACTTCGATAATATCCGTCTGCTGATTGGCAGCTTACAACAACAGCATCACCGTTGTGGACTTGCCACACCCACAACGGCGAGCTCCAGCACTGAAGCGCAGACCGTCGACCACAATTTCGAGGATGTAGCACATCGCTGTATGGATACTGAAGACACCAGTGGGTTATGCGGCTCCTCAGCTAGTCTGAATAACTGCGTCTCTTCAGATGGAGAACCCTTTCGTGCCGACTCTCCGCCCGCAATGTGGCGGCCTCTGCGCAGAGATGATGGAACATTCATAGCACCTCCAGTGGAGCTCTTGGCTGCTTTTGCGGATGCCAAAATCATGAAAATGCCACACCTTAAACAACGTTATTTCACTTATGGAGGCCAAGATATCTGGCCGTCTCCACAGAAGGCCACCCCCCACAGCACCAAGGGGTGCGTTGTGGGTCTGTGCGTGCGCAGCTTACTTGACCTGTACATTCAGGCCATTCGCTCGCTGCAACCATCACTGTTGCCAAATCGTTCTGTCGTACTCGTTACAGCTGTTAACGTGCCGATGATGTTCAGGGTGTTAGAGGAGCACCACCTGATCGTACAACCGCTGGATCTCGATCCCCACACGTTGATGCCAACCAAACAAAGTTTGCAGCAGGCAGTGCAATGTTGGGGATCTAGGGTTAAAGCAATCCTCTGCTCTCATCTGTACGGGGGCCTCTGCGACTTACAACCTCTGGTGGACTTCAGCGCAAAACACAAACTTTTGCTTATAGAGGATTGCGCGGAATCATTCGTGGGAGAGCTGTACAGAGGTCAGTGGCAAGTGAATTGTAGTTCGTATCACCGTTCGCGCAGTGGTTGGATTTCCCCTCTTGAAATGTGGCTGCATTATGTTGCCTGATGTCTCCTTTCCACTTTCAGGCCATCCTTCGGCGGATGTCAGCCTTTTCTCTTTTGGGTTGATCAAGACATGTACTGCCGCTGGTGGAGGCATTGCAACTGTGAGTCTATGGGTATTTCATGCACAATGAAGACTGCAGGGGGGTACTGAATGAAGTACCACGATGTTGAACCATTGGGTGGACCAACTCATCTGTTGCGGTTGACCGGTACCGGAGGTCACGTACCTCCTGCGGCATTTCCGTTTTTGCCTGTTTCGCAGGTGCACAGCCGGTTTGTTACTGCTCGCATGCGCTCCTTGCAAGCGTTGTACCCATATAGCAGCCGTCGGACATACTTCAAAAAGCTTTTCGTGACTTTAGGAGCATGCGGCTTGCAAAGCGAAACTGTTATGAAGGGGCTCTTGAGATTTTGCCAGTAAGAATAGCAGCACGCGTATCAGCATTTTGGGGGTTAAGGCTTGTTGTTTAACATATATACTCTTCCATTACTCTGCAAAGAACAGACATGCAGCTGGCACTAGTTTTACTGCGAGCTGCCGGAAACGTGTTCGTCTGTGTGTTTGTGGTGGTTTGAAAGCTTTCTAGGCTGGAATCCTGGAACATTCCTGCAGTCGTTTGTAAGCCCTCCCTCTACACCAGGAATGCTGGCTATATTGTATCAGCATTCCATCAGAAAGGAAGGTGTTTTACTACTGTGTTCTAAGTACTGTGGCCAATCTGCACTTTTGTTATATTTTTAGTGCAATGTATTTTGCAGGTGCGGGGCTTTCCATCCACGGGAGAGCTCTTTAAGCTTCTCCGGTTCCAGCCAAGCTCTTCACTTCTTGCAGTGCTCATGTACGAATTAAATAATTGGTATACTAGTCAGTGGGTGGAAAGAACACTAGATAGTGCACGACCCTAAGAGAACTTTGGTTTGGTTATTTCGTAGATTGGATGAAAACATAACATCATTACATGTGTGGTTGGGAAACCTCAGGACGAGACTTGATTCGTGGAATTTGGAAGAGTTCATGGAGCAGCAGTTACGTACGACGAAATTTGCTCGGAGGCTCCAGTACTTAGGTTTTAACATACCAGGAAGTGATGCTGCTTTCAAGACCTTCTGGTGTGGTGGCGCAGAAACGCTTTTTCTGTGGTTGCCTTGGTGTCACTGTTCACGGGCAGTTTGTGTCAGCAAAGCACCTTAGGATGGCGTTGCACCGGCACCCCCCGACGTCTTCCCACCTCCTGCTACTTGAGCGCATATACAAGATCATGCAATTGAAATCATATCGTTTTTGTCAATGCAACTTGCGAAATAGCCATCTTCATAATTTAGGAGTGCCATGCAGCATTCTTGCTTGCTGACCATTGGCAGTTAGGGTTGTTGCCTCCATATTGAACAGGAGTGCGTGTTTTGCCCGCAGGCTATTTCCAATTCTTACGCCAGATGGATTGACTACTTCAGAGTTTCAGGCTGTCCTTCGGGAAAACGGACTGTTCGCAGCTAGCGACGCTACTACTCTTGTTTGTTGCACTGCATCGCCAAGCAGTGCACGATATATGGGATATCCAAAAACAGCTGCTGATGTAATGCGCCGCATTGTTTACTTGCCCGTAAACCGCAACTCAACACAGCAGCAGCTTTTACAAGTTGAAGCAGCAGTGGCGAGGGCTTGTGGACTTGAACCGAAGGTTCACGTGCGTTTTAGTCAGGAGTGGATCTGTGATGGTTTGGACAAGCCAATATGCGGCATACAAATACGCGCAGAGTCGAGGAGTCAGCATTAATACATCGGAGCTCGCACGAGGTTAGCATCAGTTCGCAGGTCATGGACCATACTGCATTTCTTCACTTTGTGTCCTGCGTTTCTGAGCCGCTAGCTGGGAACAGGGGTGCACCCCCCCGAGGACTTTAGTTAAAAACATCGGTGTCACAGAAAGCACTGCAGCTTTAAGGACACCCTTCATACAGCCCAACATTTGGGACCGGATTTTTGTTCCAGCTGCAAATAAATCTTTTCGAGATCTTTTCGAAAGTACATGGCCTGGCCTGATCCCCATAAACATGGTTGGTCGCTGAGTTGGCAGCGGCTCGTGCGGACTGCTCTTTATTAGTAGTTCGACCACCAGAACAACTTTTTCTGAGGGTTGAATTGGTGATCTGCTGTGCGACGTCACGCGGAGATGCCGCAGCTTCAATTGCCAACGCTTCTGTTTGCATTTGTGTAACATTCCCTACAGTTTTCCGAGATTCCGGGAGGCGTAACATTGTCCCGTTTCACATAGCAGCGCAACACTTCGTTGAACCCACTTGTCGGGGTCGTCATCTGTAAATGGCACATCGAAGCAGCTGGGACTGCATGTGACTACAAAGAATGGTAAACGAATCTAAATAGGCAATGGGCAGGGGATTTCATGCCAAACCTGTTGGTAGATCCAAGAAGGCAACAACATCCGCACATGCTGCCCTGTCAGCTGTTCTGTACACCGGGCACCTGCTTTCCGCACCGCAAGATGGGGACTGCGGTCTCATTTACGAAACATGGAAAACCATTGGAGCTCAGTATCCCTATCAGTGAGGGGCAAGGGCTGGAATCTGCATAAGGATTACGCTAACTTGTATCTCTTTTCTTGTTCTTCGTGAGGTAATTTGGGGACTAAGTGAATGGGCGGCATCTGCTGGCACATTTCATGTGGATTCGCGTCACGAAGGATTCTTTCTTCGCCCGACCATGCAGCCCCCTGCATGCGCAAATTTCACTGTGAGTAGCAGACAAGTATAAACGGGAAGAGAACGGATGTTGATAAATCTTGTCAATAGTTTGTTATGATGCCCCCCGTTGGCATAATAAGCAAGCACCCTTAACGAAGTTGCCCACCTGGAGGTAAACGCCTGTAATAAAGATTTCTGCATTTTCGGGAGCTTGTGGGCATGCCTTTTTCTCGTGGTCGGTGAAATCCGCAGACAATGACAGACTAGACGGGGGCTCCTGAGACGACCCAAATATGCTGAGCGTTCTTGTCTCTACAAAGTGGTTGGGGTTTCTGACATGTATTTATTCAGCTCATTATTCTCATGAAGGTGCATAACTAAATGAAGGTGAGGCTTAAGTTGGTTGCTACCTGGTTAGCTAGCGTACGCCTTAAGTTTCGGAGTTTCAGTAAAATTAGTAAAATTACGACAGGTTGGCTCTATGGAGTTCTGCGCTTTCATGTTTCTCTATGTTGTACCTTCAAAGCCCGGGCGACGACACGCAGCGCCGCCCTGAAAAAGCTTTGCGGATTGTAGAATGTTGCTATATTGAAGACACTAGGTGGGCCATTTTGTGCCCACTGCTTCGTGCTACTGACGCGCGTCCTAAGATCATGAAGCCATGCACCAAGGCTCAGCTTTGAAGGATATGATGCACTAATCCATGCTGTAGGCACCTTCTGGAAGTATAAGTCCTTGCTTAGGCTATCCAAATCCTCAGTCATTATACACCAGCCCCGCAGTGCCTACAATAATATAAAAAATACGCGCATCCCATGTGTACAGGTGATCTGCTAGAGCAAAGCCCTCTTCCTGCACATCTTATATCTGCGCTACACAAAACGATGGTGAGTAACCGTCTCAGCCGTAACCTCATTTTTCCCTAGTTGGCCTCTGTAGACAAACGCACCTCGAGGAGGTGGGTCAGAGACATTCGGATAAATGCGAGGAGCGCATTGTAACTGCAAAGCTCTCCTTTGAGGAAGTTACTTAGCGGAGTCAGCTCACAGAGCCCTGTTTGTGAGTTTTGGTGGAGTTGAAACACCTCCTTGCTGGCATTTTCCTTAGAGATATCCTCAGGCACTTTGGTTAGCACATCTGTAACCATGCTAAGAAGGCTTTCATCCCTATTCCCTCCTGCGTGCGTTTGCATTTCCCTGTGGGCGCTTACAAGGGAGTCTAGGAGCCGGCTACTTTGCATCTCCTTGTACCTGAGGCATATAAGCAAATGCCACTGCAGTCTGACTGGCACAAATAGAATGAAAATGGCTAGAAATTGAAACAATGTGAATACCTCCAACTTTCAGCCACATTGTTTAACATCATTGCTGACGTACACCACTGCAGCTCCAGAGTCAAGGCCCAGAATCTCTGGAGCCGTATCAACCGGCAAACACATGGCGAACTCCATTATATCTTCGTAGCAGTAGTCCGACGGAAGGACATATCCTCTCAACACTGGGTCTGCTACCTGCGATTCAAGCTCGGTAGCAGCAAAACAGCGTTTTAATAGTGAAGTGAGCAGCCTTTGGTCCATTTGATCCGTCACACGGCCTCCGTAGTGGATATCAGCTGTCAAAAAAACAATTCTGTCCCACGACATCATTTCTTCATCAGCAGATGCAGCCTCGAATAGGCTTTGTTGGGAAACCTGGCGCAACATATTATCAGAATTGGCCCGCAACAAGTATGGTTTGGGCGAATTCAGGAGGGGAGTGTCTGTCCTGACTATTTGCAACAAAATACACTTGCTAGAAGGTGAACTAAATATATGATGGATGCTTTTGCTCTGTCGCACTCGAAAGTCAAAAACTGTCCATTCGTATGCCTTGTTCCACCCGAGCGGTCCAAATTTCCGACGCTCCGAAATAATAGAATGAAAGAGTGCTAGCGAGAAGAGCCAGCGCTTATAGCTGGGACAACCTGCAATGTCCTCTGCTCCGCGGTTCTCTAGGTCACTGAAAGTTTGTAGAATATTATCGCGAAGGCCCTGCATCGATTAGGCAGAGAGCAGCTGTACCAGTTCACCGCTGGGCACAGCATAAAGACAGGTAGGTAGCTGTAAGATAGCAGTTCTTAAATCTGAGTGTAAACAAGCATAGAGGCTGTAACGTCGAAAGCCAGAGCTAGATGCAAGTGAGCATACAGTCGGAGGCTCAGTGATAATTTTGATGCTTTGCTTGAGCAAGCTGGTTGGAAGAATATTGGTAGGCTGTGACGTCAAGAATAGGCGGAAGCGTGGGTGCACTGTCTCCTGCTGGAAGCGCTCATACAACTGTTGGAGAAAAGGCATGAATGTCTCAGCCAGATGGCAGTTTTGCAGGCAAACCCAATAGCCCTTCTCCCTAAGAACCAGAACGCACGTTGCAAACACCAATGCCACCAGAATGTATTCTACAGGCATGTTCGAGCTGAGTGTTCTCACTAGGTGGACCTAAGTGTGCCAAACACTGGAATACGATTTTTTCGATGCAACCAAACACATTTAGCTCCTGTGCATTGTCAAAAGTAACCTACCTGGCTTCATGCAATACTTTTTCCGCCGCCTTAATCTGGCCCTGGCCGAGGGAGAGAAAATGCAGGTGGTCCTCAGGCAAAGACGCACGAGCGGCTAGAACCTTTATTGATCCGATTGGGTCACTTCCAGGAGATAGGATGAAGATTAGGGGAGTCAATGGCGTAGACTCGTCCAATGCTTTTGATATTTCTAGTTGGGGTGGGCATGTGTAGCGTGTTCCCAATATGCTTTGCACGTATGCTCGGCAGCGAGAATGCAGCTCGCTTCCTCTGAGTGGACCCAACAGGAGCCAGCAGTTCACAGGCGGCCATTTATGCGCACGTGCCGACTGCAGAAAAGCCTAAAACGGCTCAAACGTATGCTCCCTGTGCCTACAAATATTGCGAGCAACAAACCTTATGGCCTTTACAGCAACTAGAGTAGCAAAATCTCCTAGATCTTCCCCGCCAATTTGGGGCAGTTTCAGCGGAAACTCCATCTCGCTTTCGATCATGGTTCTCCATTCACCGTCCTCATTGGCCACTGCTTCGGCAAATCCACGGAAGCAACCCCCAACACTCGCATCTAAAAACAAAATATTGCTCCAATTCTCTGGGCTTGTCCAAGACGGCTGAGAGTCCCACAAGCCAACAGACTGTCCAGCATGGCTTTAGCAGAATTCTGGTTGCTACGGAAACTCATTTTATCTGCCTACTACCAGAACGTTGTGCATTAGACTGCTAGAATATACGCATGCTGTTAGAAATTCACGTAGGGTTGATCTCACCTGAGAAATATTAACCGGATCTGGATTTTCTTGGGTTGCACCTCTCAAAAGGAACTCAATCATTTTGTGCGGAACGTTGCCCGCCTCAGAATCAAGAGACTTGGCGATCATAAATGCGAGGACCAGCCTATGTGGCTCTAGGAGTCCCCTGCATGTGTTGCAGTATACCTCCCAAGTGAGAGAGTCTTTCAATGTTTCCCCGCGGCTTCCGCCAGTATCTTGGCAGCTCAGCAAGGTCCATTGAAGCCTTGCTTTGAATGTCTCAAGGGACCATATGTAGAAGGGATGGAGGTGGGACATATTTCGCAAAGCAAGGTAAAGCATAGAACCGCGGTGGGAAAGGGACTTGTAGAGCTTCCGGGTTTCCTCTAGCTTATCAGAGGTGGCAGAAGCTTCTTCCATGCGTCTTTCAATCGCCTCATATGTCAAGCGTGAGTCATTCAAAATATCCAAGAAGGTGTCGTCAGCCAGTATATCACCTTCAGCGTTTGCCAAGAGCTATGCGCACAAAGCATTAGAAGATATACACACCGAACGATGTTGAGAGCTTTCATGCTGCCCATGTAATGGGACTAGTAATCCAGGTGTCAGTTTACACTGGAACTGTCTTGTGTGGGTGCCCGCTGCACGCGTTGCATAACAAGGCTGCTGAGGTTTGCAGTACCGAGAGAATTCTTTCCTGGATTGCAGCCTTAAGTTCCAGGTCCTTTGCAATGTTCACTACCAGCACTCCACGTTGCTCTTCCAGATATGGCGCTTCGTGCAAAATGATTTGGTTTAGGAGTTGCTCCTCCAGGCTTGCCGGTGTAACCCGGAAATTGATGATGCTTAATTGATTGTGTAGCTCGGGGGCTAGTTCCGAAGGGTACAGTTTTGTCGCTAAGACCATTCTGAAATGTGGGCTCCAGAGGGCCGTGTGGTCGCCGAGGTGAACAACTGTCCGTCCTTCTGGCTTGATCTTCTGTAGAGCAGAAAAGATGGAGTGTGTACCAATGCAGCACGATGTATTGGGGCTACTCAACGCGTCATCTAAAATGTGTTTACCGCTACCAGTTAAGAAAGAAGGCACCTTAACCGACTATCAACGTTTACCGGCATACCACCGTATTTGTCAAGGCTCCTAGTGCAGGGTCTAGCGCCGGCTCAGAAAGAGTGACAAGAACAATCATCCCAGCTGTAACTGCTTCAGAGAGAGATTGCAACACATCTGTGTCGCTGGATGCAACTTCCAAGAATTCCCTTTTGAAATTGCGTTTTCTGAACCACCGAGTACCCTGGTCTTCTGGGTCAATAATTAGGGGAGGTTTAGGACAGTTGCAGACCAAAATAGCATTTTCAACTGAAGCTACGTCTGATGGCAAACCTTCGAGAGACCACTGCCTAATCTCCGAAGGCGTTGACAAAGTTCGAGCCAAGGAAAAATCCCCTCGGACGTTCAATCCCTCTTCGACGCAAGCGCCCAGCCACAGCCGACCGAGCTCTTCTCGATACTCGTGGGTAAATGGCCCAGCATAAACAAGCATACCTGAACATTGTCAGCCAACTACGCTTACATCGACTTAGTTAGCCTGGCATCTGTCCAAGCACATGGCCAATTGAAGCACACGATACCCTGTGATATCAAGCAAGGTGTAGGCTGCTCAAGAATATGCAGTACCTGCTGCCACTAGCACGTCACTCAAAAGGTTGGACATGTCGTCTTGTATGGCTTTTGCATCGACTGTCCATCTAGCTCCTTCCACAGATACTCCCGATAAGACTTTTCCAGCCCTACAAAGACGCTGTTCTGTGATCTGCATTTGGTTTTCCAAGTCTTTGACTCTCTCTTGGCAAGCATTATACTGGTCTGTCAGCGACTGAACCCTGAAAAGGTAATCGCACCATGTTTTAACCACGAATGGTACCCCGTGCGTCCAGGTACGCCAGCTCATTGATTTGAAACCTGTAGTAAGATCCTAAGTTGCATTTTCATTTCAGCCTATTCAGACGGCAACTAACCGTGCTTGGACATCATCCAGACATCTCTGCTTTTCGGCCAGATTGTCCTCCGCCTTCAGTAGAACCCCTTCGGCCTCCATTAGTCTCTTTTGCTTAGGCTCCATGACCTTGAGCACCTGAATCGAGACGTCATATTGGGGAGGAAGCTTTAAAAGACGCAGAAGTTCCATTGGTAATTGTTTGATAGCATCTAGAGACCAGCCGCTCATCGCACTTGATATTCCTTACTTGTGCATAGCTTTCGATGGCTCGCACCCACATACACAGGGAGGTTGCGGCCTTGGACACATTCGCGACCCTCTCGGGGAGGAAGTCCTCAAGAGCTGTATATTTGCTAAGCTGCTGTAACATCTTTGGCGAAATGTGATCCTTGTCGTACTCGCGCAAAGTGGTCAACAGTGAAGTGTCATTGAGAACCTTCTTAGCCTCTTCCCACGACTCCTTACGCCCCAGAAGGACACAAACCGCATTCATGACAGTTTCAACGAGTGCAGGTGGAGCAGGGAATGACTTTAATTCCTGCAAATCCCGCTTGTCTAGGGCTTCAAGGGCCCTGATTGCTTGGTGCAGTAGAGGCATTACTTCATCTATATCCCGCTGGCAATCATCACGTATGGACTGAGCTTCCACACGTGCTGCATCGGCTGCAGCTTTCTCAATTGAGCAGCTCTGTTCCATTAGTGCTGCTTTCTGCATATTTTTCAGACATACAAGCATTGTCAAGATATTAATGGCAATTCAGCTGGGCATGTTTGTGGAAGTACACCAATGGTACTCCGAACGTTTTAGTTGGCAATTGAGTGTTTAGAACTCAGAGGCTCTATCTGAAGCATACCTCCTTATCTTCTGCCAATGAAATGGCAACAGTCTTTGCTTCTTCCCTGGACTTTTCGAGCAGCGGCTGGTCTGCCAGCAGCTTCCCCTTCATATTCTCAACTGCGGTAGATGTTTCTTCCAGTTTGCATATTCCAGAGGAATATTTTCGAAGGCGATCATCTGCACACACGCTACAGAGCTCCAGCCCATGAATTCCTCAGAACGACTCATCAGGATGCCTACCTTTTCAATCAAGGAGAAAGCAGGCGGACAAACTATTAATTGTACCCACCTAGGCTGTGCTTCTTCTGTGCGAAAAGTGACAGGTACGTTCGAACAACCTCCACGTACGACGTGCACGTCAAGTGTATAGGCTCTCCAGTAACAGCGATAAACTTTTCCGTTACTCGTTCAGCCAGCGAGTACATCTCCGCTGATGCGCTTAAAGCACCACAAGGTGAGTCTTCTGCAGTCTCAATAAGCTTCCAGATTAATGCAAATATCTCATATAAAGTAACTGATTGCATAACCATCACCTAGAGCAATTTCTCCATGGAACTGATATGCATTAGCCGCGACCTAGTGGCAGTTGCGTACCTTGATAGTACACGGGCTTCGTCAGTGCTTATCAGGGGCGATTTCGCAAGAATTTTCGTGCCTATTGCGTGCAAGGCAGATCGTGGCCACGGATCGTAGAAGTTGAGCATACAGCCACTCAACAAACCAGGCAGGCGACGGCATCTTGCTCTGCAGATGCAGTATCCAATAATTCAATGAAACTGACTTTTCTGTATGATGTGCTTCTCGAGGACGCTGGAGCTGGGTAGACTACTTGCATTAACTGTATCCAAGTTGAAGTCATACGTTGTTTATATTATTTTCCCCTTCCCGGTTTCCTACGAATTTGCTTGTAACTGAGAAGCTGCCTACCTAAAAGCTTCGCCGGAAGCGGACATGCTTATTACGAAGTGAAGTTTCCGTTGTACTAATGAAATCACTGCCTCCCAACCATCGGATGGATTGGTGGGCTCCGGCTTCTCAAGGGACCTCACTTGAAAAGAGAGTTTTTCTCGGTCGGATTGGTCAAACTGCCCGAGGATTTCTCCTGAAGTTTGCACGGAAGCTAAATAATGATTATCGTGCTGCGGTGGACATCTGAAAATTAAGGGTAGGAATAGGAGGCCTCGGTTTAGAAAGCTGCTCAAACTTTTGTTGCAGGGCTTAACCTGTAGCAATGACACTTGTTATGTCCTGGAGCCATTCTTCGTGCTTAATTTTGTATTCTGAAATACGAAAGACCAAGTCTTTCCTGTCTGCGCAGATTTTTAGTATAAGATCCCGGAGGTCTTCTCGGATGTCGTTGGGACCCCACCGCGACCTGGTTGAAATCGTAATAGTGCTGTACTCCATAATTGAAGCAGCAAGGCGAGACAAACTTTCGCGGCCTGCCAGAGCACAATAAGGACTCGAGGCACACAAGGGAATGTCTCTTTTCCCAAGAAGCGGTTCAGGAATCCCAGCTGCCTTTCTTTCGCTCGGCATGGTTTTCTCTGCACCTTGCAACGGCGGAAAACAGCAGTTGGTAAGGTCGTGCACGCATGGCGGGCACAGTAGACTTACCTGATCCGTTTGTGCCGAGTAGCAGTGCATGCCCCCCTGGCACCCGGAGTATTCGACAAAGCCGAGCAATATGTTTGTTTGCATGTTCGAAGAATACCAGGTCAATGGGTGTCTTTGCGTCAGCGTTATATTGCTCCAGGTACCTGTTGGGACATAATTCTCGTGAAATGGGACGCGGTGGTCCAAAACCTTCGTACGTGGAGGCATGCTGGTTCGTACTGCTCTCTTTGTAAGCAGATTGACGTGACTGTCCAGCATCGCGGAAGAGGAATCTGGAGCAAAAGTGAAATGTATGCATTTTTAGACCCTTGCCTAGTAAGAACTTCATTCATTTCTTCCTCGGAAGCCAGAATCTCCGAGTAGCTCTTGCTATAGTCCATCTGGGCAAAGTCGCCGAATAGTATTTGGGAGCAGACACAATCTGCCAGTTCATTTGTTAGCTTTAGAGTGGAAGAAATCTGTCTAACCAACATTCGTTCCGTCCACTTTCTGTCCTCTATTGACACCAGACGATCTCCAAATTGCCTCTGCATTTCGTGCAGCCAGAGTCTGTCCACAGCAAGAAGGAAGGAATAAGGATATTCTCGTTTTCTACTGTATTCTACATGGAACTGAATGGCGGATAGTTCTCAGCTAGGGCGTACCTGGCAATATCCGTTTTGGTTTTAAGTTTACTAGTATCTGCCATGAGCATGACTTCCAGCGCTCTTGAAATATCTCGTATGGTAAACGTGTAGTGGCATTTGAGAGGCGTCGGGAGCAAATGTGCAGTAATCCGCTCATAAGCAGCAACAGTCGCTTCAATCATATCTTCAGCGCAACTATAAAGCGCCGGCAAACTTCTTGCCCATGCTCCTCTCAGGATCTGCGTGAAAATGTTCTTCGTATCTTCTGAGGAAAAGTCGTCTTGGAACAGAACGTTAAAATGCCGGAGAAGCCTACGATATGCGCATTCCCCAGCCCGTACCGTTCTTTTATACGCCACTCAAAAATATCTGCTTGAGATGCCGCGCATAGCCAAGGTTAGTTCAGCAGCGCATTCCTGTTCAGTAACGGGTAAATCTAAGGGCACTTAAGGAGACTAACCGCATGTCTGTCTTCGTCCCCGCTACGTCCGTTGCACCGGCAAGAACGGTGCTTGTGTCTTCTACGTGAATAAACTGGAAGCGATTACGTTCGAAAAAGCCTCCATACTCGACGATCTGCCTGAGTAACTGGTGGGGCCTCTGCGCCCCATATGTATCCGGCACGGGAGATGCGAGATCGTCAATAAGGAATAGCATTCGAGAGCCATAAGGCGGTCCTAACGATCTTCGGTGACGCTTCACAAAACGGGACATCAAAAAGTCTTCTACATCGTCTGTGCTGGTCCTATGCGCCAATGCCATTTTGCAGCAAATCTGTGAGGTACCGGGGTATCTCAAGCATTGTTGAAGGTGTGCACTTTTTCCAGTTCCCGGCTTTCCATTAAGTAAGCACCCATATCCTCCCTGCGCATTTAAGTAGGAACTGCCCTTTGTCGCACACTTGTAGTCCCATTAATGCCGGTTAATCTTTAGGCAAAGTGCGCCAAACCTGTCATGTCCTATCGCGTTTAACGCCCCTTGTAAATTTGGGATGTGCGACTGTGGAAGCTCACGTCCACTAATGTATGCAGAATGAATGAGTTAGCAACCGTTCTAGCAGTCGGTACAAAAACGTTGCTACCCGTTTGCCCTCCGTCAAATGCATATTTAGGGATGGATGCATCAAAATTCTTGAACTTCAAGGTGCCGGCGTCCGGCATGATCTCATATATTGTTGTGGAAGGGAGAAGGCCCTCAAGCTGCTTGCATATTTTGCAGAGGTCTGGTAGCAACGCTCGTGAGAGACCAACTCGCTGCGTATCACCCAGGTGTCCTCCAATACCCCATGCCATTGCAACAACGAAATGCATTCGTACCATTTCCGAACTGTGTTCTGCCGGTATGTTTTGCGAAGCCTCTCTACTCAAAAGAGCAGTAAGGAGACGGCAAACTGATGCTGCAAGAAATGATTCGCTCCACGGCGTCGAAAACTGAGCAAACGGAGCGCCCCACCTGAGTGAGGAATCACTTTTGGCATTTCGAAAGGGATTAAGTTTGTATTTTCCCCCATGGAAAATATACGAAGGTCACACACTGCTGTGAATTGAAAGGGACTCAAACGAAATTTGGTGGTGGATAGCGGCGGGTTTCAACTTCTTACAATGATTGGACACGGCGTTGAAAAGCGTACCTTGCAATTCTCATGAATATACTCTAGAGCTTTTTGAAAAGTAGAGACACACCAGCTCTCCATATGAGAAGCGTAAGATGCGAACTTGTTTTTCTCAACCTCAAATGATTGCCTCCACGACTGAAATAAGGGCGTCCAGCCTCGGTGTTCAGGGTCGATGAAGACAGTTCCGCATCTGCTAACCGTTGCTGGGGACGCAGCCCCCAAGTCCTACTCCACAGTTCAATCCAGACATGCCAAAATGATTTTAACGTTTTCTCATTTCCACATAAATGCCAATGGGCAAATAGAGGTGCAGCAGTAACCAATGAATCTTGGTTCCTGTCGTGTGGCATGATTCAATACCCACGGCAACTTCGAAGAAAATTTTGAGGTTGCTCGGCAAGAGAATGCGCTCGCCATTGCTGAGGCATAGGAGCTTGTTGTCATCCAGAGCAGAGTTCAAGTTCTCTGCCCAGTTAGGATCTAAAGGTCCGTCAAGAACAAGCCAACTGTGGGCACTGCTTTGTGAGGCAAGGGCGTCCCTAACCCGCTGCAGCAAAACAGAACTACGCAGTGTAAATTTCCTTCATACCGTGGAAAGGGAGGGCTGCTGGCAAAATAATACCATTTATTTGCCACAGCTAATGTTCAGTGTGTTGAGCGCACTGATGCTACGATTCCGTCTAGCCACTCGGTGGTGTTGGGGTCCAGCCTTCCGAAGAGCAGCGTCTCCTCCATTGCCTTAGGATTTACCCTTAACACCTCGCATTTAATGCCTATCTTTGTAGACTCATGGTGTGCATTCTCAGCAGACATCTGAGTCTCATGTTTTGCGTTAACTTGGGATAGCGCTTTTGACAATCCGAGGATCAGCGTTGATTTCCCAGCTCCCGGAGCCCCCACCTACGAAAAAGTTTCACTCGGCAAGTTTTAACTTATCCACTATCTTTCAGGATGGATCCAACAGCCGCGTTGAGCGGATGACTAAATATGGAGCCTTAACAGAAGATAGCACTGTAGATAGGTTGCCTGATTCGCCGTACCACTAGCACGCCGTGCCTGAGTTGTTGGGTCTGGTACAGTTGCATTGCTTTTTCCACAAACCTAGGTAGAGGCTGGAGGTGCTCTTCTTGAAGGATTCCTTCAAATGCGAGTTTCAAGGGATCATCAGATGCCTCTGGTACTTTCTGCTCAGGGAACATCTCAGCAACAAGACCCAAATATGCAGGCACATCGTCCATGACAAGTCTTGGCACTATAGATCGGAGCGCGTGCATCATAGCCCCTGTTTCGTCCAGCCCAGGTAGCCTCTTCTTCACCTCCCCTGTACAGATAAGCAGCCAAAGAACAAGCACCGGCATTTTTCGTGGACTAATGAAGATACACAGAGATATTATACGAAAACATGTGGACTCACCAGCATTTACCAACACAGCTTTCATTGCTCTAAGCCCCCAGTCATAATGGGTCTGCTGGCTAAGTAGAGCATTCGCGATGGAAAAAACCTGCACCACTTTGGTTGCCAGGGCACATGCAGTGATGAAGCCGTTGGCGAGCAAGAGAACCTCGGCAATTAGCGTGAAATCTGGCTTGACCATGGAGATCGGTCTGAAGAGCGATTGCAAGTTTTCAGGAAGTTCCGTCCTGCCAGCATAGCCTGGATTGTTGGTTATACAGATTCCTACCCTGAATTGCACACAATAAGCAAAGTACCAGTGCATGCACTCCCATCGATACCAGGTCTGTGGATGAGGCAAGAAACAGTAAGGTAGAAACTCTTCCTTGTGCTTGCCTGCTATCAATATGAGTGCTCCCTCCATCGAATTCAATTACGTCCTTCTCAGCTCGTATGGCCGTCTGGATCTTCAGAAGAAGTTGCGCAACGACTGATAAAACCTCTATATCAATCCTATTGAATTCGTCAAAACAGGCCCACGCCCCAGTTTGAGCAAGGCCTCTGAACAGTCGGGACATTACATGGTGGTCCAATTCCTTCGAGCAGTTAAATACAAGGCACGGCACACCAAGAGCTTTTGCCAAGTCCTTCACTGTTTCTGTTTTGCCTGTATCAAAGACATCAAAAAGGATTGTTCGTGCAATTTCCTGCAAAAATACCCCGCTGGTAGCCTAGGTCCTGAAAACCTGTGGTTTCATCAATGGAGTTTATTTCTCCCTTGGTGTCGCTCGCATTAAACAGCCACCTTACCTGTTCCTGCCGGCCCCGCCGGTGCTCCTCCGTATCCAAGATGTAATGCAGAGGTAAGCGTTATGAAGCACTTGTCTGTCAGCGGAGTGATTACTAGTCTCGAGGCGCAGCCAAGATACTCGTGCCTATATCGGAACCTGAAAACCAAACAGCAAACGCTACCCGATTTCCTCAGGCACACGATACGGGCGAGTATATTTGGTGAAGCGCTACTCAACTATTAGGATATCCTGCACATACTTTGCTTGGAGCTGTTCTATGTCACAGTCTTCTTCCCCAGAATGCCAATAGTAACGTAGCTGCTTTGTCCATTCGAAGCATGAAGGTCCCATGGATTTTGATTGAAGCAGAGTATTAAGGATGTCACGTGCATGGACCATCAAAACAAGAAGAGACTGGGCTAAAGTTTGAGTTGATGGGTCCTCTGTCTGCGCACTGAGGAGCGCAAGCCTGAGTTCAATCATGGCGACATTCAGATTCAAGAGTGGATGTTGCTCCTCAAGCAAATCGTTTTGCACATACATTTTATTCGAGCAACAGTACGTAGTTAGGTGTGCAGACAGTCCTTCCCGGATTGGTCATCTAGTAAAACAGTACTAACCACGTCCATACAGCACAATTTGCCGTGGTACTCTGCCTGCGACTCTTGAATAATTGCAATAGAGGGTAAGCTAAAACGACTCTCACTGCTGAATATCATTGCTCGTTTCTTGCAGACGAGCTTCCAAAGCTGCGTAGTATCCTTCCGATTCCATGAGTTGAAGAGCATGTTCTGTATTGGAGCACCAGTGAATCATTGCTGCCGTTAAAATGCACTGGGCAGGGTGCTCATACAACCACTGTTGCACTTCCTGCTCCCCACCAGCACGACTTTGTAGTGCGGCCTTTAGGCGACGCTTCAAAGATGCTATCATAGTAACTTCGAGTGCGGTAAACCATTGTTCGACTGGAGTAAGGGCACTGACGGGCGAGTCCAGTTCAAGTTTATTCCCGTCTGCAGAGTAGAGGCCTTCTATCGTGGTTCCATTTGATGTCACAGCAACAGCACGGATTCCATCAAAGCACTTTTGAAAGCTGTGCTGCAGAGCGTTGGGCTGTTTAGCCTTAGATACGATCTTAATCAGCTCCTCTCTAGATAGAAAATAAAACCTGGGAAAGGCCGTCCGTTTCAGGTCAAGGTAGTCCTGAGCAGAGTACTCACGAAACCAGTGCCTTCACTTTGGAATCCTCCACCACGCGCAGCTACCCTTCCCCATCATAACCAAACGCCATCCTACAGGGGTTTTGGAGTTACCTCCAGCTTGCGCTGCACCGCAGCCAATATTCCATTTTTATCAGCTAGAAGTTCGTAGAGGCCTTCCTCTTCCACAACTGTTATAGCATTAGACTGTTCGCCTCTGATTCTCCTCAGATATGCTCTCCAAAATCCGTCGACCTGTTCAAATGCCTCTGCATCATCAGGCAGCTGTTCCAAGGCCTCCACACTGCCAAAAATGCTCTGTAGCCCGATCCATTGACGCTGAAGCTGTGCCAGTTCCTCTGCAACAACGTCACAACAAAAGCTTTGCCCATGACGCTCTTCTTGCCTCAAACGAAAAATTGTGTCCCCTAGAGAGTTAATCACTTTCGGACTCAAAGCCGCAGGTAACAAAACTCGATGCCCCTATTAGGGTCAGTGACTCCTTACCCAAGACCTGTTGAGCAACATCGAGCTTTCCAGCCCACAATTCCACCTTCTCCTTAAGAACCCCTACATACGGGTTGTGCAACATGCGTTGCACAGATATTTGATGATCTTCTACAATAGAGAGCAATTCGCTTATATCACCTGCACCGGAGCAGGAACTACAATAGTGCCATATTAAACTGACGATACGGAAGTCAATACTAGGCCAGGCAACGCCTTGCCTGACTGTGCCCTTTTTAGACTGCGAGCCACAATTGGTTATACCTAGGATAAAGGCGTTCGGATCTTCGTCAAAGGGTTTCACTAATAGCTCTCGTGTTTCCCAGACATCCGTAATCTTGTCCATCGTTTGGCTGAGAGATTGTTGCACTGAGGCAAGAGTAGAAACTTCGTTAATGAAGTCGCGTTTAGAAAAGATGTCCATTTCCTCCAGTTGTCTCAAGCACGTAGACTCTTCCGTGCCGGGGATCCTACACAGAACCACCTAAATCCTTTAGTGTGAAATTGCTTCTGCAGTCTAATGCGCGGGAAAACCAACATCAATTTCTCGGTGTTAGAATCATCTACTTTGACTCACTCAAGTTCCTCAAAAATAGTTTCCCAGTGCCGCCTCTTAAGTGCGGGATTCCCCAAATCCAAGATAAGCGGCAGACGCAGCAGCCAGCTTTCAACTTCCTTTTTAAATTCCGTTGCAACGGGGTCTCCTGGAAAGTTCTGCAGAGCTATGCAGGCTTCCTTCATGTACTTCTTTATCCCAACTTCAATTTCCTCAGCATCCAGCGAAGCCAAAGGTGCGGCAAGCCACTTAAATGACAAAGACGCGCAGGGCAGCCTCATAAGAAGTAGTTTTTCACTAGATTTCGCCTAGCTTCGTACGTTTGCGATTTGCTCGGGATTGCGATTTGACAGGCAAGCTAAAATATGGAGCAAAGCTGGATTTTACCTTAGCTGTATCGGTCTGCCACGAGCAAATCTGGTGCCACATTTCCACTTTGGGCTTGATAAGTCGGAGCGTCGCTTCTGTTTCCTTGGAAATAACAGCAGGAGCCTCTGGAACAAGGAGCTCCGCCATACCTCTCAGGGTCTCGGCCTTGCCATAGGCGAAGTTGATGCGCTGTTCGTATGTTTTCAACTGCTCGTACGATTTCGTCGCATTATCCAGGGCTTCTATCCTGGAGAACTCCTCTGAAACATGTAAGGGCTCAAGTGCAGGGATGCTACGGTGACAGCGGCAACTCACGTTCATTGATATACTTCAGACGGACAGGCGCTGCAGTGGTGTGTTGACTGCATAGCAAAGCTTCCTACCATCTTTGACGAGTTTGTTAAGCCCCTGCATCTCCTTCTCAACCTCTTCTGCCTTTGCCCTCAGCTCAACCTTCATGGTTTGCAGATTATTCCTGAAGGCGAAAAAGAGGCGCTTTCAACAATGTTTTCCACCGGTATTATATACCTTAACGGATGCACCCTTTACTTGTTGTTTCCATACCTTATATGCTCCGCTGCATCCAGAAGCTTGAATGTCTCGAAGTCATTTGCACTCTTCAGCATATTTTCAAGTTGAATTGTGTCTTCAACAGCCAACCGAACACCGTATTGCTTCAACAAAGAAAACATTTCTTCAGCAGCTGCCTGTGAATTTCAGAAGACAAATATAGCAGAATGCATACTGCCCAATAACGGCGCAGGCTGGGAGATATCGAGCCATTACTGTATATTATATCCTCCATCCATGCTTTTAAAGGCACCGACGCACCTTATCCCGGTCAAGGTCTTCAATTTGTGCCTTGATCTCATTGCAGCTACTCACGAAAGAAGCAAAAGGGATCAGCTTCGTAGGCCGTTCATCTAGTCGTTTGTTTATGGATTCGAATCGACTCGCAGTACTTCGTACCTAACATCATAATCACTCATAAGATGCAAGCCTGTGGAGGATGGAAGCTGCGTGGAAGAAAATTGTGACAACCATGGCGAACACACCCAATGCCCCTTTGAGTAATGACTTAGGCGTGCTATGCTCTCATAAAACAATGGAATTAGGGAGAGTTTTGCTACTGTCAAGCTCCTCAGGTAAGGGGACGTCGTGGGGTGCTCACGTGCTCTTTCATGAGTTTCCACAGAAGCCGTTTCATGAAAGTAAGCGCCTTCTCTGTAATAGGCTGCAGCGATGATTTGAGGCTGCGTGCCTCTATTGAGAACAGCCCAACAACGTGCACTGGATTAAGTTTGTCAAGCTTCTCTTCAAACTCTGAAATAAGCTCCATCTCAGTAGACAATTCATCATGCCCAATGACTGAGTCAGCGAATGCAGCTTCATCCCAGTTCTCTCCATACTCATATATTTGCCTGCGCGGCACCCAGCAACCGCCCCAGTATGCATGTTTCGCTTGGCTAGTGGTTAAGTTCAGAGCTTTTCTTCAAGATACCAATGGCTCTATTCTTATTAGGACTTTTGAATCCACGCTCGGGTTCAGGTAAATACGAAAACAGGTGAGATGGTGGAGTCGACCTGTAGATTCCAAAATACGACTCGGAGTATTTCTGGGCACGGTCAAAGTCCTTCAAGATCCTCTCCTCAATTCGTTTCTGCATGCCGTGCATATAAGCCAGTTGTTATTCGTCCTCTTAATACCGACGCGGTGACACATGCATTGCGGAGCTGTTGCACGCCCATTGGAAGGCTGCTGATTGTGTGCGAGAGTCAATTGATTCAACCTAATTTTTGCAGGGAATAGAGTCGTTTATATTGCTGGGATTTTCTGAGTACCTTCATTAGCTGCAGGTGCTTCGATTGAGATAGCAATGATTCCAAGCTCAGCGGAGGACCTTGTATAACGGAGTCTTCAAATTGACGGCATTGACTAAGTAGAAGGATGCTGCTAACGGTGGAAACAATTCCTGCGTTAAACGCCGATAAATAGGTTCACATTAGTATTCCAGCTGGTCAATGGGCTATGCTAACAGTGTATCGTCGTTCTCCCATGCCCTCGAAAAACCTCAAGCCCATGACACTTTTACTGTTTACTTATTTTCCAGGAAAGGAAGTACGTGATCAGTGCAGAGACTGGAATTCGTGTATGCAAGCTTCTCAATCATGCCGCGTGAAGGCAACGACATTTTTTTCAGGAAGTTACCCTACCTTCCCACCACTCGCGGTGCATGGAGACAAAAGCTGGACGACCCGGATCAAGTTCTACTTTAGTACTCCCAAAGCAAACATTGACAGAAAACAGTTTCGCACAAGTTTCCTCCGTGCCAAGACGCTCCAACATTTTGGCTGCGGCCTTGGTGACGGCCTGTACAAGGACCCAGAACACGCACACGTCCTTGCATGCACGCACTTTCCTTCAATTTCCAACGTAGTTTGGGTGTCCATATGTAACAAGTATCCAGGGGCTCTAGCCAGAGACACGCTGCAGATTTGCTGAGTAAGCACACCTCTCCTAGCTGACTGTCTGGCAGTGTGATTAAATTCGCCGTGGAACTACACCTTGGCTAGCCTCATGGTGAAAATGAGATCTACTAGAAGAACGAACTGCCCGAAAAGCGCCTGGTTCTTGTACGCCTGCCGGATAAGTCGCTGTTGTTCTACTGCCTCTCGCTTTGCCTGAAAGATGGATTTGCCCTTACTTGAGGAGCAGGCGTGCATCGGGTCAACTTCCGGCAGCTGCGTTGCCTCTTGAAGCTTTTGCATTAGCTCAACAAGCAAAGCTCGTGCTTCCCCCTGTTTGACCTGCACGTAATTGCCAGATCTTTTCTCAGTGCCTAATGCAATTCCTAACACGATGCTTACTATTTTTCTTGCATGGAAAGCAACAAACAGAACAAACAGCAGCAGAAGGAGCGCAACCACCAGCATTGTAGCCTTGGGCCACATTGCATCCACTTGCTCTCTTTGAGAGGCCAGTGCTGACCTCCAACGCCTTGCTTGCTCCAATCTTCGGGTCCGAGCGCAAAGTGTGCTGCTGCGCAGTAAATTGGGAAATATCGTATAGTCCAGGCTGCAGCTCAACCAATTTGACCTCGCTGACGCCGGCAAGGACTTTGTGGATTTGCATAAGGTGTTCGGCATAAATGGGTTTTGCTATAAAGAGCGTTCTGCACAGCATTACCCTCCGCTCCTCGAATACGTGCTTTCTCGATTCATGGCTCCACAGACACAAGACTTTGCGGGCAACAAAGGTCTTGAAAAACGAAAGGGTCCGCAGGAGAGAGTGAATGAACGCTTGCCGCATCCACTCATCTTGGCGAAAACACTCAGACGGTTTTCCCGGGCAAATGTGCATGACTGCCGTTTCCGATATAGTAAAATGCTCGGGGTTAACTTGAGTTTGTGGCACAACCACAAGCTTGTAGGGCTCGAACTCCAGTGGGTCTGTGGGCGCCCTATTACAGAAGAGAAACTTAGTTTTGGTTGTGCTCCCGTGTCGCGCGAAGAACGCCACAGCGTCTCGCTCTGTTCTCACTTTTGTCAAGTCAGCGTAGCCATTTTCATCCAAATCCTGGTTCTGTGTTGCAGAACTTTCATTTTCGGTGTGCATTGGCATAAGCTTCTCCACCGCTCCAGCGGAGTTGGTACTCTTTTTCGTACCGCGATCGGCTGCTGAAGGCGAGTTGTTCATGTACGTGTCGTACAGGAAGCTCACGTGCTTGGGGACCGTTGATTCTGACGTAGGTATGTGCTGAAGTGCTGCAAGAGACTTCGCACGGCTGCGTCTCGTCTTCCTGGTTGCAGATTCGTTGGCTCTGTGCTCACGATCACTTAATAGCGAATGCAGGATCGGCGTTGGGCGGCGCCGCCGTCGGTACTCTCCTTTGGGTTCCTCCTCCGTAGGGGAGGGTAAAGACCATTTAGGGCTCTGAACTAAGCCATACGGTGCTGTGCGTCGTAATGTTTCTGCAACAAGGCTGGGTACGGTCTGCTGCTTTGGAGGCTCTAGGGCAAGCTGCCCAGGGGTTTGAAAATCTCTCGCTTCACAGGGGCCAACATCACACTCCAGCGCACCGTCGTCGCTGTTCGTCGTGCCGCTACTTTCTGAGAAATCGGAACTTGGAGGAGAGCGATCCAATGGCTCTTGGAAACGGATGGCTGTTCCGCCGATCGACTGCTCGGCCACTCCCTCTCCGCGAGCGGCCTCGCCACACAAACCGCCCGCTGTGGGAGACGCCATGGGGCGAATACTATGCGCAAAGACTAGGTGACAATACTGTTGGGCCGCTTAGTATAACTAACGACCAGATCAGTGCCGCAATCGTAAAGTATTGAAAAAGTACCTGCACGTGTGTCGTTCTGCTACATCACTGTGGGAGCGTAGCTGCTAACCTTTTGCCGAGATCCGACTCTGCATATAGACGCTGAATCTAAATCCTTCTACTGTCTGCCAACTTCCACGGTCCAATGTACTTAAACCCTTAAACCACAGCAAACCATCATACCCCGGAGAGTTGTCCACCATAGGGCCGGGAATGTTGACCTCATTAGCGCATGCCACCGTCTGAATTACCGCTTGCAATTGGATCGCTGGAGGTGTGATGATCACAGAAACTCGAATTAGTGGGCTAACAGCGGTAGAAAGTTTAAATCTTCCGTTACGCCGCTACAGTGGAGTGGCCTATGCGCTGCAGTACAATTGGTGCTTTTTCTCCCGCATTCAACCCCTTAATGATGACTAGCGATCGCTTTGGTATGGATATTACAGTAAAGCCAGGTGCATTTGCAGACCGCCAACGACTGAACCGCAGTAGACTGACCACCTGGAGACGGGAGGCTCTGGAACTGTGGGCCTCCAAGTGTGCCCCAGACGTCACAGAGCAGCATTCATAATCATCCTTCAATAAAAAATATTTCAATTAAACATAGCCTGCTCTTTGTTTTGCAGTAGGGCGCCGAACTGCTGGGGTCTGTTCCGCCTGGCGCAACACAATGTAACAGCGTCCCTACTAGAGGTGGACAGGTGCAACAACAAGCTCGTTGTCTTTCTTTCCTTGGCGCTTCCAACAGATCCCATTTTTATTCTTTATTGTTGTAGTTCGTCTAATTATCATAAGCATCATGCAAGGAAGTTGCAGAGCACGCCTGTTTTCAAGACGTTACAGCTAGCTGCTACTGTTTGCTCATAGCAACCGGAGTGGGAGGGCATATCCCGTAATTACGTCTTTTCTGCTTACTTTTCACAGTTGGAGCAGTATAACACCCAAGGGAGTGTTAACTACATTGTATCATGCGTGTCAAACAGTTAAACACAGTAATTGTGACCCCCGCGGCCTCCTGCACACTGTAAGTAGGGGTGTAATTCAGCAGGTCGCATATACGTCTTACTAAAGCAGATCATAAAGTTCATAGCCGTCAAATACTCTTACGGCCGCAAAATGCCGCAAGCAGCGCACGACAAATCAATTGTTGGACACGCCATGTGGTTTGCCCGCCCAAGCCGAGCCCCATGCTCGGATTAACGAGGCGAAGCAGAACCGTTTCTTCCATGCCTCTGCTAGGTCCACTGGGGGCGTGCGGTGGTAATGACGCTGCGTATTTGTATATCTCGGGACCTGCTGTACAAAATCTGCTAGCAGGGGGCCTTGCCTGCACGAATACGTTGTGGCCCCACATCAGTTCTATAATTCTTTAACCTCCTTGTAGTGCATTCTGCTTATGGTTAGCTCGCTTCGTGGAAAGCGCGGGTGACCTCTTTTTGGGGTTGTAGAGCAGCTGCTCCACTGCCACTGACTGATGAGTGTGTCTTGTCTTTCCAGGCACACACACTTGTATTCTAGATAATTGCTAACTTCACAGTTATCGGAAGTAGTGCAGTGTTTTGTTAGGAATTAAATTCGTCAGCAACAGCCTTTGGCCGGCTGCCTACGGGCATGGCTCCTCTTTCTCCTGCAAGGCTCTTGAGCTCCAGCAGAGGCGCAGGCACCGTATGGCGTTTTGCTTGCTGGGTAGACAAAGCATTTCCCTCCCTCTGCCTTGGCGATTTCCTCGAGCTTCTGCTGGTACTTGCGTATCAGCTCTAATTCTTCCTGACGAGCAATTTCGGATGCCCGTGCCTCCCTCTCCTGAATTTCCTTCATGCGCCTAACCTCCTCATCGTATATCTGCTGCTGGGTCTTGTGTGCGTCCTCAAGTAGCTGCAGCAAAAAAGACAGGCAAGGATTCGGTTGGGAGCCTTTTGGCTGTGCTCTTTGGTGTGTGAATTGGGTTTGGCCCCAGCTCAGGTGCTCAGAAAGAACGATATGTGCCTGCGGAAGGCCTGCATATGCATCCAGGCCGACGCGGTCGTAGTCGATGGTAACGACATGCATCTTCATTTGATTATTGCTGCTTTCCTCACCCTGTTCCAATCCTGTATTTGCTTCTGTTGCTCCTCAAGTCCCTGCTGATACACAGCTTGTTGCTTGACGTACTGCTCCTGGAATTCCTTCATCGCCTTCGCGTAGTTCGCGCTTTGTTCTTCCTGGTCAGCTCTGAGCTTTTCCATCCATTCTGCTTGATCGTCTGCAACAGGCGGATTTAAACACCAACGAAACCAGAATAAAAATACTCTCAGAACAAAGCCACCTTTGCGCATTTTGCATTGGGGGGAAGCTAGCAGCAAGTTCTCAGCAACCCCGGGATACTAAGAAGAGCAGTGAAAATATAAGCGACAAAAAAGAATGAATTCAAAAAAGTAATAGGGGTGATAAGTGTACGCAAGAAGCCGGCATGCCTGCATGAGTGTCCAGTATCTTTTTCAGCCAGACAACTGCAAGGCTCTTGAAATCCTCGACGGTAAGATTTGCATCACCGAAGAGCCGTGTGGTGGCAACACCGAATTCCGCCAGTTCGTGACGCACATGGGCAGGATCGAGGGCTCCTGCAAGATGAGAGACAACATAACACTTATTTTGTCCACATGCTTATAATGCGGCCAAGTTCGTGCAGATAAATTACAATGGAATGCGTACACGGTTTCCAACACCATACTAGCTGCAAATGCTACCCTGCATGTAGAGGGGATATAATTGTTTTATTCTGACTTACCTGATTCTTTGCTGAATCGAGTAACATATTCTATTAACCCGTACTGCATCAGCAAATGCCTAATGACGGGCTCGAGGGTGGCATATGGGAGAGCAAGGGTCCCCTCCACGTCATGGCAGCTAAATGCCATTTCAAGCTGCTGCTCGAGGCCGGGATACAGCGTGTAGATTTCACGCTTGATATTGTGCTTTTCCTGGGTGGTGAGGGATTGACCCATTTTCCTGATCTTTGGAAATAATGGAATAAGGGAGGAGCCCTTTCAACACTGAGCAAACGCATAGTTATGCACAAACAACGACAGGTCTGTCAACATCAGCATGGTAATACTTGAGCAACTTGGAAAACTTGTGAAGCAAAAACCAAGTGTCGGAGTGGAGTGTGCCAAATATAATTAATATGGGGAATTTCGTAGGGACTTCCTCTCTTCCTGCTGATCCCGCTGCACCCGGCAACTCATACCAGTGCTATGCTGCGAAGGGAAGAGCATCAGGACTCAACTCTTCACCGCTACAACCTTCCACTTTTCTTTTCAGGTTCATAAATATACCCAAATAAGTCACAAAAACAGGAATTGAAACGCTTGTTCAGCGGTCTCACCGGGCTGACTGCAACGAGCTGCGAGTGTCGTCGGTCCCCGTGGTTGAACGATCTTGGCAAGGCAGGAGAGTTGTTTCTGATGAAGAACAGACCGAGAAGAAGAAAGCACAAGATGGGAATTGGAGGCAAGAATAGTAAAACTGACAGAAGCGTCGGCGTGTTAACGCGCTAGCCAGAGTCAATCCTAGGCTGATCAGGAAGAGTGGATTAAGCCTGCTGGAGTGACGACTGACCGGAGACAGGCAAACGGAAGAAGATATAATGAGGTGTAGATCATCACTAAAAGAAGCTTCTATGGTGGTTTTGAATTCAGAGGTTAATGGTGCAGAAGGGAGGAGTCCTGAACGGAAATGCAACGGAAATCGCAACCGCCTGTCGGCTTCGCCTTCCAACAATGCGGGACGCGGCCTGCAGCGCGATGCATTGCCGGCTAGCCGCCAGGTTTTCGTTGCCATGTGCAGCCAGCGGGTTCCCTAAATATCTTTGGTATGCCCTTTCCCCTATCTGAAATTAAGAGGATTACTTCTAAAATAAATTACACTGGCTTTCCCGTGCAGACAATCCCAACAACTTGGGCATAGACGACACGCCATCGTACCAGCTCTCGATTCTGTATCGGCTTCGACGTAAACTGCGTTAATTGTAAAATATGTTTAATCATATACATTAGCTTGCTTTTAATATCCTTTGGAAGGTCGAAAAGTTAGGGCTTTGGCTGAGGGGCAGCACCTGGCTAGCCAGAACATTGTGTAGGCACCCACACATACCACTCGATGCAGGCTTCGGTGGTTTACTCTTTTGGGTTTTTCGAAGTCTCCGTGCTTTTGCCTTGTTCGGGGCTGCACTCCTATTTCAATATAAAAAGTACTCTTGCAGTCAATATGCTCTCGCACTGGTATTAGTAGGCGGAGACCGCACGTAGGAGCGAGCCCAAACCGATTCGCATTACTAGGCGGTCCCTGTACCGGTACATCCAGTTAGTGGCCTTAAATAACATTCTTTGCCCTACATTTACGTCACAGTACCGTTGCCAATGTAGATATGCCCACAGTTCCCATAAGAATAGGCCAAGGAAAGCATTGTACACATTAGTCCCCAAGGGCCCTATGAGTGTTTAAAAACGACGTACTGTCAGTGCACGCGTCAAAAGGGTCCTTGGGTACCTCTGCACACCATGTCTAGGTCCTTCAGCCTATCTGTGTAGGGTTTCTTGGGACTTGATTTGGGGTCAGATGCTTTTGAGGATGTTTTGTCTAACGCATTTTAACAATTGTAGCTTACGCCCTTGCCAGGGTGCGATCGAGGACTCTCATTCCAGTTACAGTAAGCTCACTATCCCTTAAGTAAACACTGACGGCGATCTACCGCCGTATCAAACTCTTTAACCGAGTTGAGGAGACGGCTGGGAACAAACTGTAAATACAAGCAGTGATGTCACGTGATGCAGGCCTCCCCCAGACTCACCAAAGGCCACCGAGGAAGCACTCACAAGCCGCTAAGTCGACTGAAGTTTACATGAAGAAACTTAGGCATCCCATGTCTTATATGTATAAAGTCACCCCCCAAATAGACGTCAGAGTGGAGGATGACGTGGGGTTACAGCAGAAGCTATTTCTCTAGTATCTGCCCTCGAGCAAACTGCGCCTCCATGTGGGTATTCCCAGGTGCACCTGCTGCTGCCGCTGCTCCAGTCTAAACTCGCTGAATCCTAACTAATACAGATATTAGAGCAACAACCAAATGAGATGCAATCTGCTCACGCAATAGAGGAAACGGGAAAGGAAAAACTGCTGCGAACGCACAGCAAAGGAATACGTATTGCTGCAGCACCAGCAACTGATGCCATTGACGTAGGAAGCCTGTTTCTGTAAGGGAAGCGCAGTACATTGGCGAGTGGGGCTATCTCTGGCCGCGCAGCAGAGCTGGGAGGGTCAGGAGGGAATGCAGGAACAAGCTATATATATATATATATA